CAGCTAGTCACCATCGATGTCTGCGTCTCTTGCGTTGTAAATCGCAGTGATCTTTCACTGCGTCTCTAAAGCATTCATCTATGCTAACTCTGAAATGTTCTTATGACTTTTTACTAGATAGCCACTCAGTCAGAGCTCTAGACGCAACCGAGATCTTCCTAGCCTCATCTTCGGGGCTGCAAGGAGGAGGAGCTCAGTTAGAGATACAGACATCTAGACACTCTAGATGTAAAAGTCTCTCACATTCTCTAGTTGCTGATAGCTCCAAAGGTAACCGAGATATGCAATTCTGAACATAGGGCGCTGTTGCGAAGAGGCGGCTAGGAAGAGACGCAGACAGCTAGACACTCTAGCTTTGTTTATCTCTGCGCCTCTCATCCTTCATATCTCTAATAACTTGGTCATTATAATGAGAGATCCAGACAGCTAGACTATATCGCTGCCTGCGCCTCCTCCCTCCACTTACCTCTGCACCCTATCCGGCTCCAATGTGATGACTTTTTTTGCCGCTCCAGTAACAGGTCTATGAAAAACGGCAACATGCTCTGTTTTTGGTTGCGGCAACCACCAATTCTCCTGGATCCACTCTTCTGGTAGTTTATCAAATTTGATTCTGATGTTTCCAAAGCTGGTAGAGAGCTCTGCAACATCTGAAGTGGATGCAGTGGATGCGGAGCTCTCTGAGCTCTCCGGAGGTGTCGGGTAGGAGTAGGTACTCTTTCTAGCGGTTAGTTTTGGAGTCTTAGCGGTGATGAGGGCGTGATCTTCGATTTCCTGGGTCCTACGTTTGACTTTGGTCTTGGGGTCTTGCCCCTTTGGTGGTGGTGTCTTTTTGGGCTCCTTCTTCACATTTTCCTTATCCGAGCTCCTTCTTTCTGCGATTTTGCGGGGCGGCTCTTGAGGATCTGGGTCCAAACTTCTCTTCTGCTTCTTTTTCAAAGCGTCCCTTGTACGCGAGGAGGATCTCCGGTGGTTTGGTGGGTCGGGCATTTTTGAGCAACTGGAAAAATGGTTTGAAATTGGGAATACGCTAGAAAGGCTAGAAAAGGAGCACGGCAGCTGGCCAAATGCTATTAGCGACAAGTAAAGGGCAGAGGGCAAGGAAAGGGCAAACTGAGGGCAAGTTGCTCAGCGACAAGAAAAATATTTTGTACAGCAAATAGACTGGCGAGTAGTTAAGATACGCACAGAAACTGGTAAAAATGCAGCCACTAGAGAAGGGCAAAGGACAAAAGGGCAAGAAAAGGGCAAGTTGTTCACTGGTTGGCTAGAGGGCAAATCACTTGATGAGGGAATAATGAGATTAGTCAGGTTACGATGCCATGTCATCTTTTGATGGGCAATTAGTCTGCAGCTAGGTTAAAGAGGGCAGAGGTGTAAGGGGAAGAGGGGATTAAAGACCCTTCTGGGCAGTATTGACGTTTAGGCAAACCAGTGGTGGTGGTCAACTGAATCAGCAACAAAAGAACAGCAGAAACGGCAAGCTGCCATCAAAATCCGGCAAGCTGCCATCAATAGTGGCAAGTTCTAGGCAAAAATGACAAGTTCAAGACAAAAATGGCAGCTTGCCCAGCAAAACTGGAAATTTTTCAGCTTGAACGGCAAAATGGCAGCAAAATTGGCAAGTTGGCAACAGAAAATGACTAAAAAGATTCCAGGTCAATTGGCAGGTCGCTGTATATGAGTGCAAATATAGCGCATAGTCGTGCAACGCGCCATTCGCTTGCTACAGGTATTTGGCAAGAAAAGGGCAACTTGCCCTTTGCTAGCGGCTGATATTTGGCAAGAAAAGGTCAAGCGGCAAAGTTCAAGGAAAAAAAAAGGAACACGAAAAAAGGTTGAAATAAGAAAGGTGGAAAAGGGAGAGAAGGGTTCAGAATGAGAGGCGGTCACATGGAAACGAAAAAGGACCACCCATACAGCTAAAGAGAGGGGAGAAAGGTGTAATACCGAGGAGTCCGTCTGCTAATGAGAACGTTCATGGAGATAAAAGAGAGAGAGAGAGACGGGGGAGTCCATTTGTTAATGAGGGGTGACAATGGAGCGCAGGTGCAATTGGGGTTGTGGGAAACCGTGGAGAGGGGGGTAGGGGTTGACAGACAAGGGTCTTCAAGAATTTTCTGGGAATGTTCAGAAGATCACTTCGCGCTCCATTGATAAAGTTGAGAATCGAGGCCAGCATACTCCCATAGCCTAGCTAGCTTTCTATATGTGGCTAACGGCGTTATCAATAGAGCGCAAACTAATTTTGGGTGAACTCCAAATACCACACAGTTCAGGAGATTACAATGACGAAAGGGGATTAGCAAGTACGCTCTAATGAAACCTACGTCGTCATGAAAAAAGCAATCAGATAGAGTAGATAATCCACAAAGGTTCGGGTTTTAGTGAGAACACTTCAGGCAGATGGTCCAAAGACGACAGGTTAATCTTATCGGGGTAGATCTTTTCCTGAGGCAATTTTCTTGTTATACAATTCGGTTGGCTGTCAGTATTCTAATCCTACAGACCCTAATTGAATGACGATAAGGACTTTGAGGGGGATCTAGACAGGAAAGTTTTCTTCTGCATGGTGCAAATACGCAAAAAGAGGGGACCATTGGGCAAGTTGCCAGGACTGACAGCAAGTTGCTGGGCAAGATGGCAACTTGCCCATTGCTCGGTGCAGACATTTAGCTAGCCCATGGCAAGTTGCCATGCAAATCTCCCAGCTTTCCACTCCACTTGGCCAGTAACTAGCCAGCAGAAGCGGTCAAAATGTGGCAAGTTGTCGTGCAATATTGCTACCTTGTCCCAAATTCCTTCACTACTAGTTTCGAAAAAGCAGTTGCAGACAGATCAAAAACTATAGTTGTTGTCATGAACGCAACTGCTCAGAAACAGGAAAAACAAACATGGATTATCACTCTAAACACGTGAATGAATAGATATAAACAAAAAATGTGTATCTGAACGGATCTGATAAAAACCAGAAAAAATTTGGATGCCTCAGAAAAATGTTCGCAAGAAAGAAAACAAAGAAAAATACTTCTGCGGGGTTTGAACCCGAGACCCATCTGACAGGTTACCAGAGGAGTTATCGGTTGCGCCATGGTGCCACCGACCACCTTTCTGAAGAAAGTGCGCCTACCACCGCGTGGCGCAGCTGGTAACGCCCTTGGTGACCTGCCAGACCGACCCTGTGTTCGAACCCACTAGAGGTATTTTTCTTTGTTTTTTTTTTGAAAACGTTTTTCAGATCCCCCTGAGCATCAAACTCATGCGATAGATCCATGTGACATTCCCCCTGAAAACCAAGTGACCCCCCCCCCCCCCAATATCCCTAGAAAGAACCTTCTAAAAGAAAATGTTACAGCTTTTTCCCATGCCATCATCATCATTTGCCGAATGTCCACCATCATCATCCAGTTTCTGCTTCTGTTGCAACAACGTCTGCTTCGTTCTGTCTGTAGAGGGGGGTGCGAACACTCTCCTCCTATGATCACCCTTTTTATCCACTTGTCCTCCTATCTGATTCCTTTTTTCTTCCTTCTCCTTCTTCTCCTTTCATCTTCCTCCAAAGCCACCACCACCTCACCACTGTCTCCCGAAATCCCGACTTGTCGTTTTCCAATGTTTATTTGGGTCACTGCATTTTTCGACATATCTTTTCTCCTCCTCCCGCAATGCTTCCCACCCTTCGCGGGAGGAATCTTTTTTACTGTATTGATTTCGGGATGATATGCTATTGATAAATATTTGTTTTTTGGGGGGAAGGGGGTGTCCAGGGGAGGGGAGTGGTGGTCGTTTTTGAATAAATTGTTAGAGATTGTTAGGCGGTGACGTACTTTTTTTGTGTTTTTTGGGGAAAAATTTTTTGGCTTGTAGGGTCCAGCTTGGTCAGCGGATCCAGAGAGTCCCAGGATCGGGGCTATTGGTCCCTTGAGCCTCCGGGAGCCCGAGCCGGGTTTTGTAGGAATTTTGGCAAATTCTCTAGATTTTTTTCCTTCCTATTTTGATCTTTTTGCACATCATTTTTCCTGAATTTTCAGCTCTTTCAAGCCCTTAAGTGCTGGAACACCCTCCCCCCAGATATATTTTCGTGTTCGTGTTCCCCCGAAGTATTTAAATCCAACATATCCGCTTTAAATTTTTCTGTTCAATTATTTTTAAACTCATTCAATTTTTAACATTTAATAACGTTTTCTCTCTGTTGTAAATATTGTTTGTGTAAGAGGTTTTTTAGCCCTTCAATCAATTGAATAAATATCTATCTTAGGATCTTGCTGAATATAAGCTAAATTTGAAAAAAAAATTTTCCCGGTTTTCCAAAACCTTCCTCTATAAGTTCCTAGAAAAAGGGTAGACCCCGAAAAATTGTTCCAAAAATAATTCCAAAGAAAAATACCTCTAGTGGGTTTGAACCCGGGACCCATCTGGTTAGTCACCAAACGCGTTACCGGCTGCGCCATGGGGTCGCCGACCCTCTTTCTGAAGAAAGCGCGCCTTCGACCGTGTGGCGCAACTGGTAACGCCCTTGGTGACCTGACAGACAGGTACCGGGTTCGATTCCACTAGAGGTATTTTTCTTTCTTTTTTTTTGTTTTTTTTTTCGCGAATTCTCGGTGCCTCCTATCTTTTTGTTTCTGTAAGATTAAGACCAAAATTTTTTTCGAAAACAATTTTTTTTTGAATTTAAGGAGTTTTTCCTACCCCAAAAACCCTTCCAGACCCCTTCCCTCCCCCAAAAAACGTGTCTAAAAATATCCTTCTCAATCCATCAACAAGAAAAATGCAGTAAAGTTGTGTACCTGTGTGTGTGTGCCCCCTGTCAGTTAGAAGGGGTTATAATCCAATTTCGGAATTTATTATATTTATTTCAGCTTTTTTTCCCTTGCTAAACACACCACTTTTTTTGGTTTTTTCTTGGCGGGAAAATTTGGGATTTTTAGGATTTTTCAAATTTAGGATTTTCAGATTTTTGAGCCTATTTTTCAGTTTTTTCCCTCGAATTGTCTGGAAATTTCTAGAATATTTTCCAAAATGTTCATTTTTCAATTTTTGATTTTCGGAATATGCTCACTATGACTCGACAGAGACACACACTTAATCTAATGAAAACAAGAAGAAGCGTGACGGATTTTGGTGGGATTTTTGAGAGATTTTCAGATTTTTTTTCAGAACTTTTTTTTCTGGAACGGTGTTCCCTTTGCTAGATTTTCTTACTCAATTTTTTTTTCGAATTTTGTCCCAAACAGGCCTGCTAGACCCCAAGACAAAATTTTGACCTACTTTACCAAATTGCAACATCTCTAACCTGATAACCCAATGATCCAAATCCTACTGACCACGTCATTTGGTATCAATACATTTTTTTCTCCGGAGAAGATTCTAGAAGATTTCTCTCGGATCATTAAATTTTGATTTCTCTCTTTTTGATAGGATTGGATAGGATGATGACCTCATCCTCCTTTTCAATTTTCTTTGAGTTTGCATTTTTTCCAGGCCCGCCCCCCTCCCCCCAATTCCAGGCCCAGGTTCTAGGTCAAAAAATGATCTGTGACCTAGATTTTGGGGTTAGAAAGGGAGGTGGACCCCAGAAAACTTATAGGCGAAAACTGAAAAAAAAAACAAAAAAATTCAACCTCTGATGGGTTTGAACCCGAAGTCAGCCTTGATCGGTGGCCAAAGGCGTTACCGGTTGCGCCACATGGTCAGGGGAAGAGGGCGCGCTGCAAGGACGTGGGCGCCGCATAGCTCAGTCGGTAGCGCTCTTGGCGAGCAGCCAGACAGGTCCCAGGTTCGAACCCACCCGGGGTGTTTTTCTTTGGTTTTTTTTTCTGAAAATCAAGGTTAGCATCCTCGATTTTCCAGATCTTTCTGAACTGATCTAGATTTTTGTAATCCCTCTTTCTCTCTCTCTCTCTCTTCTTCTAGTGTTTCAAACACTTCTGTCTCCAGGGCAATCGAGATATATCTATCTAATTCCAAACCCATCATGCCCATCCATTCATTCAATTCCAATTCAATCATCTCTCTCATTTCTGAAATCAGTTCATTCATATCATATGTTGTCATATATAATTCCTCCTTTTTCTAATCTCCATCTTTGTCTACAAAAAGCGAGAGAGAGAGAGAGAGAGAGATAAAAAAGAGTCATATCAACTTTGATTTATGAGCCAAGAAAAGGAGGAAATTATGGTTGGAAATTTGATCGTTTCTTCAGACTTTTTGAATAAAATTTAGGGAGCTTTGAGGGAAAAAATAGCGGGGAAATACGGGATTAAGGTCTTTTTTTCAAATTTAGACCTAGTCTTGAGCTAAGAATTGTCTCTCTGTCGGTCTGTTTGTCTGTCCAGATTCTTTTCGCTCATCGTTTCATTTTCTGCATCTCTCTTTTGCCAGCCAAAAATAGACAGGTTTGTGACCTTCCCCCGAAAAAAAATTATTTTCAAAGGGCAAAAGAAAGATGAAGATAGATAGATAGTGAGACCGTGTTTCTTTCTTTTATTTCTGAAGTCTAGACTAATTTTCACCAATTTCTTCTTCAATTTGATGTTTCTTGCAAAAGTTGCAGTGGAAGGCTGTAAATGGCCAGCCAAAATCGGATAGTACACTTTCAAAGCAGTATATCTCGGTTACTGTAAGTGCTATCAAAAAGTTGTCAACTACAAAGTTATTCAAAATTAAAAATGAAGCAAGTTTGTAGTTGACAACTTTTTGTTATCTCTACTGGAAGCTGAGTTATGGGTCCTCAAAGCTAAGGTGGCAGAGAACGGAAGTAGGCGGCAAGGAGAGAGACAGACAGCTAGACACTCTAGTTGTCTGGGTCTCTTTCTCTCTTTTTCTTTGTTGCGTTTGGTGATCTTGAAGCTTATTTCCTATGCTTTCTGTACCAAATAAAACGGAATTTCCGATAAATTTTTCTCATTTTTACGTTCCTACCAAGTCTCTCATTTCTCTTGGGATATACCTATAGTTTGGAGCATTATATCTCTGCGGAGAGTAGAGATATCAAAAAGTTATCAATTACAAAGTTGCTTTAAATTGAAAATTGAGCAAGTTTGTAGTTGATCACTTTTTGATAGCTTTAACGGTTACTGAGATACACCCTCTTGAAGTAAAGAAGGTAAGCCGCACCCCTCTACCTGTGAGAGGGAGAGAGCGCAGACACCTAGACACTCTAGCTTCTCTCTCTCTCTCTCCCTCTCTCTCTCTCTCTCTCTCTCTCTCTCTCCTTCTCTTCCAAAAACCATCTATATACACATATTTTTTGTTCTACCTCTCTCCCTCCCCCTATTTATAATATTACCCAATCTGGCCATGAGGCGCATAGTTTTGCCAATCGCCTCCTCCCTCGACCTACGTCTCCACTTCCTCCACACTCTCTCGCCCCGCAGCCATCATTCAATTTACCGTTCGTCCGTCCTTTTTTATCCATTTTTGCCTCCTCTTTTCCAACCTTCCTCTCCTCCTCCTCCATATGATGAGACGACGGTCGACCCGTCCATTGCCATTTTGGTTGTTGGAGGGGGGGTGATACGAATCACGCCTTCCTTTTTGCCTTCTTCAATGTTTTCTTATACAACAAAAACGGTTTTTGATATAGACGTTTGGCGTTTACACTGTTCCTTTTCTCATTTTTACAACACTTCTGTCTTAGTCTTCTGCTTTTTTTTTTGGACGAGGACCTCTTATAGAAGGGCACCAGGTAGTCTACAAGATTCTGGGGACCCTTTTAGGAGCAGTTATTGGTTTCGGCTTTAAACCTGTAATACAAGAGCACCCCTCATTTTTTGATCTTTGACAATATTGACCAACTTTCAAAAATAGTTTTTTTTTGATGGATTAATTTTTTTTCCACTTCCTACCTCATTTGAAGAGATTTTTGATGGTGGTTTGAACCTTTTCTGACTCGGTTTTTGGAGTTTCGTTCAGTAAAGAGAGAGAGAGAGAGACCCAGACAGCTAGACTGTCTAGCTGTCTGCCTCCCTCTTTCTCCCTCGCCGGTTTTGGGCACTTTAGCTTTGAAGAGCTATAACTCTAAACGGATAAAAGCTATCAAAAAGCAATCAATTGCAAAGTTGTTTAAAACTAAAAACTGAGCGAGTTTGTAGTTGATCACTTTTTGATATCTTTGAGGAAAACTGAGATAAAGCGCTACAAAGCTAGGGGACCCAGAGAGGAAGCAGCGCCTATAGAGAGAGAGAGAGACAGACAGCTAGACAGTCTAGACGCCTGGGTCTCTCGAACTCTAGAGGGTACCAAACTACAAATCATCCCACAAAAAATGCTCAAAAAAGGGAATTCTCCAATTACCGAAAGTTCAAGTTTTTATGAAAAATTTTTGAAATCTGAGACTTTTTTCTTCAAGACAATTTGTGTAATATGATAAGGGAATTCTTAGCCTATTTTTGTCGAATTTCTGTCAAATTTGTGTTTTGGTTGGTGTGACCCTGAATCTAAGAAACTGAAAAAACCAAAATAGAGAATTTTTTGACCTACAAATTCCATGACCTCTGCCCTTTCAAGTTTTCTTAACACTTTCATTTCGATTCATCAATTCAAAAAAAAAAACGAAGAAAGGGGGAAATGAAACGCCAATAAAAAGTACATCCCATTCTTCTTGGCTTCTTCTTCTTCTGCCTTTTTTTGGGTAAAAGTGAAAGGGACGTTTCATTATTCTGACACTTACAAGTGGCAATCATCAACCATCTCCTTCTTCCCCCCTCTTGACGTCATCTCCCTTTCGAAGCTTCTCGTGTTTCTTCGGCGACGATGATGATGATGCTTAACTCGTTTTGTTGTCTCGCGCTTTAAGAGGTTACTGTGACTTTTTTTTTTGAGAAAGAGAGAGAGAGAGGAGACATACAGCTAGACTGTCTAGCTGTCTAGGATCTCTCTCTTAGAGACGCCCAGAGTTTGAAGTGGTATATCTAGATGGAGAGTTGAGTTAGAAAAAAGTCGCCAACTGAAAAGTTGTTCAAAATTAAAAGTTGAGCAAGATTGCAGTTGATCACTTTTTGATATCTCCTACAACAACTGAGATATAACGTTTCAAAGCTAGGGTGGCAGAAAGCGGCGAGGGAGAAGGGTGCAAGAAGAGAGGTAGACAGCTAGGCAGTCGAGCTGTCTGGGTCTCTACTTCTCTCGTGCTCTTATTGATTTAGAACTTCAAATTCCTGATTTTCTAGGCCACCGTGACACTTTCTAAGCTACGTGCCTACCAAAACATCCTGCATCTTACCGATCACCATTTTTTCCGGATCCATCCATTCTGATCGCTTAAATTTGTTCCTCCGATGGTGTCTAGACATTAGATCACCATCCCCCAAAATATATGCAACATTCAATCTGATAACCCAGAAGCTAAACGATCCATGGAATCGTTTTCTCACGTCATCTTCTCCTTTCCCTTCTTCTCCCCTTTCTCCTGCTTCTCCTGCTTCTTCTCGGATGCGGTTCCGATTCATCAAG